CCCCTTCTACAAACTGTTTAGTATTCTTGTAGACCCTTTGGGACCAACATATATATATATATATATATGGATCCATTCAAGGAAGAACTGATTAGTTTGTGGTAACTGTAAGATCCAATCTCAACCACAAATCAACGGATAAATTAGAAAATTAATAATTATGGTAATTTGAGTTAAAATTATAATTAGAGGACATTTTAGGTATTTTTAAAAAACTCATCTCTCCGACCTCTGATCTCCGACATCCGGTGAACATTAATCCGACAGGTACCAAGTAATCACAAAGATACACAATGTAATACCCATTGTGATATACTGTGATACCATTGTGATATACTGTGATACCATTGTGATACCAACTGTGATACCAACTCAAACTTTGAAAACAAAGATACACAATGTGATATACTATGATACCGATTTCACCGGAGGTCGGAGAGATGAGAGATGAGAGAGGAGAGAGAAGTTTTTTAAAAATACCTAATATGCCATCTAATTATAATTTTAACTCAAACTATCATAATTATTGATTTCCTAATTTATTCGTTGATTTGTGGTTGAAATTGGATCTCACAGTTACCACAAACTAATCAGTTCTCATTTGATTAGGCCCCTATATATATGTATATATATATATATATATAGAGAGAGAGAGAGAGAGTTTGTTTCAAATACAACTCATTGCATTTGTACAACCAATGCAACCCAATAAATTGAGATATTTATGGAAATGATGAGAGTTCATTTATTATGATTTGAATATTTATAGAAGATGAATATGATTCATTAATTATGATGAATACTTTATATTATGAAACAAACAAAACTTTTATGAAATCACATATTAATCAAATGAAATGGATGGTTGAGACTGGATTGTATTGGTTGCACAAATATCAAGGGTTGTATAAAGTTATATAGTTTGATATATGTTTATTTTAGTTATTAATGTTGAAATATCCACGGTAAATATAATGTAAAGTACATTACTGAAATAATAAAATTTTAAAAAAAGGAATCAATTTTGACATTTTGAATGATTAAGTCTTTAAACTATTTTTTTAATGAAAACCCATTAAATTTTCTCAATTTTAATGATTAAGGTGTTGTTCGGTTGGTTTTTTAGATGAATAAACCATTGAATTTTTAAAACTTTGTTACTTATATTATTTTAACTTAAAAAAGCTACTTGAAACCCGCTATGAAGGTTTTAAAGTAAGAAAAACTAAATCATTTTTAGCGTTCTCAAATCCTACGCCATTCGAACCCCTCGTCATCCCTCCCCGTCCTCCGCTTTCTATTATCACCCGTCACCGCCGTTGACCCTTGCCAACAATCTCCCTCTTTATGTTGTTTCTTTTTGTTTTTCGATTTTCCATCTTTTTTCATGTCTATACGCATTCAATTAAATTGTCATAAAAAGATAATCGAAAAAAACAGATCAAAAAGATAGAGATCAATGACAGTAGCCAACGACGGCGATGGATTGCATAGAGAACAGACAAAGATGGGGGCGACGAGGAGTGGCAAGAGGGAGTGAAAGGTTTGAATAACATAGGTTTAGGTACAGTAAAACTGATTTAATGTTTGTTCATTTTAAAACATTCCTAGTTGGTTATGTAACTTTTTTTGGGTAAAAGAATGTATGTAACCAGTTTTTAAAAAATTGATTGTTTATTTATCCAAAAAATGTTCAGGGACTTGATCATTTATAATAAGAAAGTTTAATGGTTTTTTATGTAAAAAAATAATCCAGGAACTAATCATTTAAAATAAACAAGTTTACTGGGTTCTTTCATGAATGGCCTCCTATATACGGATTTAACCGTAAAACCATTTTGTCATTAACTGGGGGGGACAAAGGAGAGTGCAACACATGTCGTATACATTCATGGAATATTCATTATAAATGGTGTATCATTCATCATGAATATTGTAAAAAATTTATATTTATTATTCATGATGAACGGAAACAAATTGGGGAATGTTTCACGCTCTTCTTTCTCCCCTAGTTCACAATAGAAAACCTGTTTGCAACTTAACTTTCATTTATACACACACACCATTAATCGAGAGCAAACACAATACATGTTATTAAAGCTACATAAACCAATCTAAACCCTTCAACGAGTTTGATTTTCAATTATATTAATACTGTTTCATATATTTTATTCTTGTGTATATGTATTTCATGTATAAACGTACTTTCATATGTATTCGACACACAAACAAGTCAAAAACAATTCATATATGAAGCAACACTTAGGTTTCGTTTACCAAACGCTTACCCGGGTAAGCGGTTACCAAGTCACTTTACTTTACCGGATGGAATGACAAAGACTAAAAATCTTACCCGGTAAGAACGAAGGCAAGAATCTCGAGTCTTACCCAGTAAGTGAAGACAAGGATTATTACCATGGTTAGCGCTTACCGGGATAAATTGTTGCATACGATGTGTTTTAGTGAATAAAATCGTGCCTGGTAAGTAAGTGTAGTATTGAATTTTACCAGTAAGTGTTCACCAGGTAAGTGTTTAGGTAAACAGCCCCTTAATGAATGCTATGCATACTTCACATGTGTTATTTCATACAAACTTTATATGAAACATCAACTTTAATATGAGACGCGATAAACGTTGACAAACTAAAAATGGTACTTTTAAATATAAATCCAAACCACAATCCTAAACTAAATAAGGTCGATTGAAGCTAAAAATTAATCTACCCATGCATTTGTTTTGAACTCGTAAACATCTTTGACTGTTAAGTCTAAAAGATCCTATTTAATCTGGAAAATACATTTGCATGGTCTATTAGATATGTGAGATAAACTAAAAATAAAAATGGTACTTTTTTCATTTCAAAATAAATGTCCACAATAAAATAACATGCAATTTTAGGGGTCGTTTACCAAACATTTATCCGGGTAAGCGCTTATGAAGTCATGTTATCCCACCTGATGAAGATGTAACGACCAAGAATCTTACCCGGTAAGAGCGATACAAGGACCATGAGTCTTACCGTGTGTAAGTGAGGGCGATGACTCTTACCATGGTAAACGCTTACCGGGTAAATTGTTGCATAGAATATCGTTTTGATAGACTAAAATCTTACCCGATAAGTAAATAATAATGTTAAATTTTGCCGCTAAACAGTTACCAGGTAAGTGTTTGGTAAACGACTCCTTAATCATACATAATTATTACAGTTTTAGTTAACCAAATTATGATTTTACCCTTATTTAATTTTTCTCTTTTTATAACTTTGAAATATTTATATATCAGTTAGAAGGAGATTTAAAAGTTTAATTATTTATTTATTTCTTTTAAAATAAATAAAAATAAAAAATATATACATTTATTTTGAATATTTTATTTGACCCAAAAATACTGGGTGTTACCTTACATGTGTTATTAAATGCTAGCATGCCGTATTAAATGAAATGTCGGGCGGTGGAATGTGTTGGTGGTAGTGGGCTAACTAAAATTCTATGGATATTAGACTTGAAGACCTTATTTCTTTTTATTATTATTTTAGGTATTCAGATAAGTTTACATATACCGAATAATCTTCTAAACAGTCTACTATTTATTTGATCACAAAAGGACCGGTCAAGGAGGGACTTGTCAAGGACTAGTTGTTCAGGTCAGTTCATATGGTTAAAGAAACTTCGCAACAAATAACCGGTCAAATTCCTACTTTACCATTTTTTCTGCCTTGCAACGTGTCGACCTCTGATAAGTCAATAGACCTATCGTTTATGTCTTGTCGAGTATGTCCCGTTAACTTTTGTGATGTTCGGGCTGCTTCACTCCATTGACCACGTTCATATATTTGTATATCGTGTCTTTGGAATAGTCCATCAAAGTAGACACATGATAAGACATGGTTTGGCACTTACAAGTCGACACTACTCCACGTAAGTTTAAAGAAATGTTACAAATAATTTTCACAAAAAGTAAAAGAATAATTCAACTATACAAATGTTGTAGGGATGTCGGTTTTAAGTAGGGATGGTGATTTTCCCCAACCTAGTGGGGAACCCGGCTCAACTGATCTGAATGGAGATTCCAACTATAATATAATTAACCAAAAGGGATTAAATCTTTTTTTTAACTCATATCCTACCAAAATTTTAAAATTTCGAATTTGGTCTTTTAGGTTTCTCAAAATTTAATGGTTTTAGTCTCTCTGTTTAACGATCGTTAACTTTGTTCGTTAAATCCAATTAAATTATATTTTATGTTGAAATTGAAAAACATATTATATTTTTATTTTTAATTTGTAAAACAATAAAAGAAAAGAAAAAGCATAAAGTCATTTTCACTATTTTCATTTTTTTACAATTAAATTAAAAATATAATATGTGTTTTAATATGATATGATCAGAATAATGAAGATAGCCCCTCCTTTAATTGAACTTAACCGACAAAGTTAATGACCGTCAAATAGAAGAACCAAAACCGTTAAGAATTGACAAATGTAAGGGATGAAATCTAAGTTTTTGAAGTTTAAGAACAATATTCGCCGAAGTTGGTTGTAGACATTGGGGGAACAAAATTGAACTTTACTCTTAACCAAAGTAACGAACTCTGAGAAACCGGTTCCCAACCATCCCGGTCTTTTTCAAGCTTGGTCATGGGTCTTTTTGCGCATCTCTAACTGTTTTAAATCGAGTAGAGTTGAACGCCACAACATTAATGCCTTTGTTTAAACAAGATAATGAAAGGTCTTGCAAAATTGAACACCCATTTTTTAGTAGAAATCTCTCAAATGAATCAACAAAATGGATTGTGTTATACAATTATTGTATTCATTGATGAATATTCAATCGTTTCATGGATGGGGAGAAAATGGTGAAATCAGCTTAGAACAAGGCTCTTGCCAAGAATAATGTCATCTGTGGTGAAATCGGCTTCTTTCCTAAACGTTCCTCGGCCAAAATCCAGATTGTAAGAGTCGGTCAAACCTTCGACCAACCCATATTCCGGAACGATCCCAAGCTCCGCCTTCGCTTTCTCTACCGATGCAAAGAAATGCTGCAACATAACGGTTTCCCGAATATGTAAGCAAGAATCACATAATTAAATAAACCTAGTAGTCCAACTATTGTTTTTTATAACTGTGGGTGTCTGAGCCAACTTGCTCGCAGCGTGGCTAATCCCATGAGGCCTTGAAGTTAACAGTCGGAGAAACCTCTAGTGGGCCCCTCAAGGTGTGTTTTGCATGCAGGACGGGATAGGACAAAACAAAAATCAGTATATGACGAACCAAAACAGGTGGACCAAAAATCAGGGGATGGACAAGATTGGTAAATTACTAAACTACCTATGTCAAACTAAAACCCTTAAAACCTTATACAACTCTTTCATCGGCTAACTCACTCTCACCCGTCCAGTCCAGTCCTTTCTGTGTACCAAACGTACCCTTAGGAGACTCGAACCGTTGACCAATGGGGAACAAACTCAAAGGTTTCAAACGAACCACGTTTCCTAGGACCAAAGAAACACAAAGTAAACCGAAGATTAAAACTTCGGAGCAACCAAAGCACAAGTCCGTATTTACCTGGTCTCGGAATGGAAATGCTTTCTTTTTCCCGAAATCAAACTCCTTAGGGTTGTAGTGAATGATCTCAGGCTCCGGGAATCCACCGGCCTGAAAGGGGTAAACACGACTTTATGTTATAGATTCTTGGATTTCAAATTTCGGTAATTTTATAGCAAAAAATTACCTTAGCGCATGCTCTTGCTAGTCCGTCAAAGGTAACGTATCTATCGCCCGATATGTTGTACACTTGCTTGCTTGCCTTTTCGTTCCCCAAAACCTTTATAAAAGCCTTCGCCAAATCCTGCATTTGGTCAACATTCACGCATCAAACTCGTTCTTAAACTTCCTTGCCATGTACCGGAAAGAAGATACATTTTGACGTTTGAGATCAAACAAGATAATAACTACAAAATCGTTATGGATTCTTAGAATCTTTTCAAAGTTGTTGCTAACCACATCAAACTTCACGCCAGATGTTCCCTCCAAACCAAACAAACCCGGTATATCTCATACAGAGGCACCACCCAGGGGATGTAAGTAGATCTTGCCTTTACCCCAAAGAGGGGTAGAAAGGACCAAATATTCCCTCCGTTCCATGAAATTGCAATGTTTGAACAAAAACATATAATGAACATGACTCATTACTCTTTGCTAAAAGATTGCATTTCAAGAATCATTTTTTGACTTTAAAAAGGTATTTTTTTCCCCGGAAGTTACTAACCTTTACGTGACCGAGTTGGGTTACTTGAATACCCGAGTTGGGAATCGGGATTGGTCGGCCAGCTTTCAACCGATGGAAAAACCACTCTTCAACAGGGTTGTAGTTCAAAGGACCGTAGATATAAACCGGCCTTATAGAAGTGTAATTAACACCCTTTGACTCCAATAAGGCTTCTGTCTCAAGTTTCCCCTTGTGTCGGCTTTTAGGATCAACAGCATCCGTCTATTGCCAACAAAAACAGAAATTCAAAAGATAGTTAAACGGAATTGTTCGACTACTTGTCAAATACCTAAAAGACCCTTCAACAAACACGAAAATTTGTTGAAAACTGACCTCACAGTGTGGTAAAAGATCAGATTTAAGGTAAACACCGGCTGAAGAGCAGTATATGTACCTGCGATTCAGTAAAACGGTAAAGAAAAATATAAACGAAAAGGGGACCTAATATAGAGGTTATGTTTGTGACTTACTGTTCTAGTTTTGGCAATGCATCTAATATTGGCTCCACCTCTACCGCCTCACGCCCTGAGATGCAAAAAGAAAAATGGTACAACATGCTCGTTCTCTTTGAGAAGCAAACCAAATTAAACGAGCACAGTATATCCTCCCGGAGGTGTGGTGGGGGGAGTAAATGTCCACAGACCTGACCTCTACTTCAAAGGGTAGAATCAGTTGTTTCCGTGAAAACTCCCGAGTTGTGCAAAGTGTGCAAAAAAGAAGTTTTTTTGGGTTTTTCAAAATATCCAAGATTGACCATTACACCCTCTAGAAAGTAAGACAAATCATCAAGATTATCCTTTTAGGACTTGGGGAGTTAGAAATCAAGGGGGGTAAACTTGGTGTTTCGCACCAATGCTTTCAACATACCATTTATGTCATAGACAACATCGAAGCCTTCAGCAGCAAGACTAGTTTTCACAAAATCGAAATCCTTCCTATCGCCTTTTAAGTGCAATACCTACAACGTGAAACACACCGCTGTTACTTGTAAAACACAAGTTCTTAATATGCAAAAACATTGTTAAAGGAAAAGTCCAAAACAATGCCACAAACGTTATGTTCCCCCAAAAGGCATGTGTTAGTTTTTAAGATCAACGAGGAATCAATCATTAGGAAGTAGTATCTACTCGTTTTGAGATAATACGACGTAGTCTACATGCATATATAAGAAGTTATCATACAAACTTTACATAACTCTTAACAAACCTTGGATTTGAAAGCATTGTAAGCCTCATCCGGTTCACCAGGCAACGGTTGTGTGATGGGTGCTTTTCCTCTAGTAAACAGAGTAACCTGCATCAAGGTATCTTTTTTTTAACACAAAGTTCATAACGAAGTATTTATTAACGATCTTTATGGCATTGTAACATGGAAAATTACATGAAACATGGAGAAAAGGGTAACGAGGGAAGAGTAACCTGATGGCCTTCTTCGACAAGTAGCCTTGAAAGAAAGATTCCTATGAATCGTGTGCCTCCCATTACCAGAATTTTCTTGGCACTCGATGCCGTCACGTTCAAAGCTCCTTTTGGTTGACATACTTTCCTCTTATACTGAGAGCATACATCATGCCATGATCAAGCAGAAACAGTCACAACACCGTACACAATATAACAAAAACGGGTTTGTAATAGACCGCTTTACAAGAGTTAAGTTAATAGAACAACTTAATATGTACAGGTGTCATAATAAGATATTAAGTGTCCCGCTAGCTTTTTTACATGACACTTTGACACTGTCTTTTTCTAATATAAGACGATTTATTTCATAACTGTTATAAAGCATCCTATAAACTTATTATAACACATTTACATATAAAGCCATCTATTCAGACATTTTTGACCGATTTTGTTGTAGTGTTGGTTTTTCTGAGTTACAGATTGGAGAAAAGGATTTCAATGGTAATCATTCAGGATTTCAAGTCCAAAAAGGATACACTTTTGAGTTTTTGAGTCAAACCAAGTACTTCCCATTTCCCAAATTCGATTTTGATACGAATAATGCTACGAGGGTCATTCATAAAAACCAGAAACAATCTTGAATCGAGTTCAAGAAGACAGTAATGTTATCAAGATGCAATCGTAAACACAAAATCATATATACAGATTCCCCAATTAGCTTGTGTTTGTTTCTTTTTCTGAGTTCAAAATACTTGATTTTGCAATTCAAGATTGATCTTGATTACGCCACAACTTTGAAACCAACATTCTCTTTTAATCAGTAGTGCCGGTTTAGTTTTAAAGATTGAAGAATGCATTAGGATTTTGGAGGGTAATGATTGAAGATGAAAAGGGTACCTGGATGGAGGGACTGAATTTGGTGCCACAGAAGGAGGATTGAGAAGAAGGGAGAAGCGAGATGGAAGGCTGCATTTTGAAGTTATGTTGCAGCGTTGCAACACCGGCGGCAGCCATGGAGAAGAAACCGGTGAAGATGATGATGATGATGATGATGAAGACGAAGACGAGTGGAGGAGGGTATGGGTTAATGAAGAAGATGAGTATGGTGTGTAAGCCATATCTTGGGTCGTTGTTTGTGAGTCTCAATTTTGGGAGGAGGATAAGACCAAGCGACCCCACTCATTCCTTAGGTTGTATCCATGAACTACCCTCTCACCCATATCTTTCTGCTTTTCCCTTTGCTTGGCTACAAAACAAAAGGGTGGTCTTTACATTGTTCCTTCGAGTAGGCATGGTGATTCCCGCACCCATCTTGGGAACTCGGTTCACCCGATTCTGATTTTGGGTTCCAACTTAACATTTTGAAAAACAATAGGTTGGGATCTGGTAATGTATTTCCCAACCCATCTCATCATCCCGTATTTATGTATATCAATTTATTCTCGTTTGATATAACTCTAATATAATATTTGTTTTGATGGATATTACTGTCTATAGTTGTCGTTGCCGCCGCCACCACCATCAATGGCCACTAACAACCATGATCGACCACCTCCACTACCATTGTCACCCATCACCATTTTTGCCTCAACTACCTCATCCACCACCACCACTACCACTATCCATTATATTCGCATCCTTTACGGTCACCTCTAATAAAATATTTGTAAAATAAATAAAAGCATATTTATAAAATTGACATTTTTTATGAAGTCTTTTAAAAAAAATACAAATAAACAATTTTCTTTATTTTCATTATTTTCCTTTTCTTTCTTTTTTCTTCTTACGGTTCGTAAAGACAATTTTAAGGCTAACATTTTTTGAGATGGCTTTGGAAATTGTATTTTAAGGCTTTTTCTATTCAACAGAGATTGATCAAAATAACCGTAATGTGTGAAATAGCCAAAATTTTGTGATTACCCATATCGTAATATGCAAAATATACTTTTTATATTCAAAAATATAATTTTGGTGGTTCATCTCGTATGCCACCAAAGATATTTCACAAGCCATCGCGAACATTTCATAAGCCAACCCCACTAGGATCATAATTAATTCAGAAAAATTACATTTTATAAGTTACAAAATAGACACTTACAAAATCTTAACTATCTTGTCCAATAGGAAAAAAAATGGATAAAAATCTATATATATATATATATATATATATATATATATATATATATATATATATAAGAAGATACCACGTGCAATGACGTAGCCTCTTTTCAAAACAAGAAAATACTTTATCTTTTTTCTTTTTTTCTCAAGCTTTCTACCATTTTTTTATTTTTGATATTCACATTTAAGATTCTTTAATTAGGTTGTTTCAACCTATTCATGTTCCCTCTAATAAGTACTCTTTTAATTTTCATTATTTTTTTTCTATTCCGTTATAATTTTTCATCTTCTTTTCATGATAAACCTCTATAATAATCTATTTATTAATATATCAATTCTTCTTCTCTATTCATGTATAATTTTGTGGTACACCACTTTAGTCGAGACATTCACATTAAAGTTAGAATTACGAAGACATATGAATTTTTTTGTGCGAAGATAAAGTGGCTTATGCATCCTTGAAGAAACAACATAACATTGTTTAAGCATAATATCTCTCTTAAKCTCTCAATTCTTCCTCTCTATTCAGTTTTTGTGGAGGTAATTTGCATTTTTGTTTATTTGAGACGTCATTCAAGAAGATAAATATGATATGGGTTTTTGTTAATGTAAGTATATTATTTTCGTCTTTTAATTGGAGACATTCACATTAAAATTGAAATTATGCAAGCATATGAATCTCTCTATAATTAATCTCTCAATTTTTCCTCTCTATTCAGTTATAATTTTGTGGAGGCAATATGCATTTATGTTGATGTGAGGCGTCATTCAAGAAGAGAAATATGAT